AAAACATAACCCACCAACATGCTGTCTACAAGAGACACACCTTAGAGACAAAGACAAAAATAGAGTGAAAATCAAAGGTTAGCAAAAGATATTTCAAGCAAATGGCAACCATAAAAGACCAGGGGTGGCAATATTAATTTTTATGACAAAAACCACCATAAGAGAAAGGAAGGACATTATATAATGATTAAAGGATCAATTCAACAAGAGGACATAACAATAATAAATATCTATGCACCCAATGAAAGAGCCCCCATATACATAAATAAGATGTTAACGGAATTGAAAAGACAAATAGATGAGTCCACCATCATGGTAGGGGACTTTAACACACTCTTTCAATCAAAGATAGAACTGGTGAGAAACTCAACAAAGACACAGAAGAACAAAACAATACAACCCACCCACTTGACCTTATTGATAGCTACAGAGCACTTCACCCAACAGCAGCACAATATACATTTTTTTTCCAGTGCACATGGAACATTCTCCAGGATAGACCATATGTTATGGCACAAAGCAAGCCTTAATAAATTTAAAAAAAACAATGAAATACTATAAATCATCTTCTCAGATCACAATGCTATAAAATTAGAAATCAACAATAGGAAGATCAACAGAAAAAGAGCAAACACATGGAAATTGAATAACACATCCTTATAAATGACTGGGTAATAGAAGAAATACAAAAATGAAATTAAAAAAATTACTTGAATCAGACAACAATAAAAATAACAAAATCTTTGGGACACAGCAAAAGCAGTAATCAGAGGCCAATTTATAGCAATAAATGTACACATCAAAAAAAAAGAAAGAGTCAAAATAAACAACTAAACCAAACATCTACAACAATTAGAAAAAGAGCAGCAAAAAAAAAAAAAAAAACCTAAAGTCACCCACCAGAAAAAAAGAAATAATAGAGTCAAGCAGAAATAAATGAAACAGAAAATAGAAAGACAATGGAAAAAATCAACAAGACTAGAAGTTGCTTTCTTTAAAAGATTAATAAAATTAACAAACCACTGGCAAATATAATAAAGGAAAAGAGGGAGAGAATACAAATAACATGAATAAGAAACAAATTGGGCAATGTCACAACAGAACCAACAGAAATTAAAAGGATAATGTCAGAATACTATGAAGAATTAAAGAGAGCTCTTGTGGCATAGTGCCTAGACAACTGACTGCCAACCAGAAGGCTGGTGGTTTAAATCCACCAGCCACTCCTCAGAAGGAAGACTGTGCAATCTACTTCCATAGAGTTACTGCCTCAGAAACCAACCTGATGGTAGTGAATTTGGTTTGGTTTTGGTTTATGAAGAATTACACTCCAACAAATTTGAAAATCTAGAAGAAATGGACATACTTCTAAAAACATACTACTTACCTGAACTAACACAGACTGAGGCAGGAAATGTGGACAGACCCATAACAAAAGAAGAAATTGAACAGCTCATAAAAAAATTACCAACAAAAAAAGCCAGGCCCAGAGAGTTTCACTAGTGAATTCTACTGAACGTTCAGAGAAGAACTGACACCAATCCTACACAAACTATTCCAGAAACACAGCAAAAGGACAGAATCCTCCCAAATTCATTTTATGAAGCAACCATAACCTTGATACCAAAACCAGGCAAAGACATCACTAAAAAGGAAAACTACAGACCAATATCCCTCATGAATATAGATGCAAAAAGTTTCAACAAAATCCTAGCCAATAGACTCCAACAACATATCAAA